AAGATAAACTTGTGAGATTGAATAATTTTCTTCTGCTGCTTTGAAAAAAAATTCATATGCTTTAACACTATCTTCATATATACCAATATTTAAATAATAAAATAATCCAAGTAACCATATATATTGTGGATTTTGCTGCTTTCTTAACCAATATAAAAGATTTTCAATTTGACTTAATCGTGATATCTTTTGCATAATAAATTGGTAAATTTGATCATAAGTAATTCCCTCATTATGTTTCTTAATTACAATTTTAATTAATTTATCAACAGTTATATGATTTATAAATATTGAATCGATTGAGTCTTTAGATAGATTATTAACTTGAAAATTCGAAGCTAATAAGTGGTTTTTAAAAACTGTTATGCTTGGAAGTAATTTATTACTTCGCAAACTTGAACTGCTTTCATTATTATTCTTATAAAAATAAGTTATTTCTAAATCCTCTAAATCCTCATCTCTCTCTTTGCTTAATTTTAGACTAGATTTATTTTTTGTTGTCAAATTAATTAATGAATTACTTTTGAAATATGTTATATTTGATTGAGAAGATTGTATACTTTGTAAACTTGAATTGCTTTCATTAATATTATTATAAAAATTAACTTCTTCAGATAATTCTAAATCATCTAAATCCTCATCTATTTCTTTACTTGATTTAAAGCTAGATTTACCTTTTATTGGTAATTCAACTTCAATAAGATTAGCATTAATAATTTCACCATTTTCAAGAGAGATAATTGTTTTAAGAGTTGAAACGACTTTTTGAATATTTGGACGTTCATCAGTTTCGTATTTCCAACATTCTAATTGAATGAATAGGGATTAGATTCGTTTATAAATGAAAAATGTTATTTATAATTATTTACCTCGATATAGATTACTATACTCAGGCGGAGTTCCATCAATAATATTTTCTCTTTTACCATTTAATATAGACAGAGACAAATATTCATCGTAAATAACATCTTTAAACGGTTGATATCCACTTGAAATTTGCCACATCAAGACTCCAACACTATAGACATCGGATTTTTTATTAAATTTGTAATCCTTATTTTTATCTAAACTTTTTGGATCCATATATGGTAATATACCAAATACTTTCGAAGCAATACTTGATGCTTCAGCAATTTTTTTAGATAAACCAAAATCTGACAATTTAATAGTTTTCTGATGGATAAGTATATTCTCTGCATGCTATAATGTATTAATGAACAAATTTTTGATTAATAATCAATGTCGATAAAATAATAAAGAATAGATGTTGAAAGTCACCAGATCGCAATGAACAATCTCACAATCGTGTATGAACTCCACGGCACTTGCCAATTGTAAAGCTAGCTGATATTTGTCATTCCGATCAAGTTCATTAAAATGTTCATTTAAATAAGTATTTAATGTTCCGCCATCAGCATATTCCAAAACTAAAGAATACTTGTTAATTTGATGGATATTTGCTTTCCATAAAAAAAAAATTAAAATTAATATATTTGTCGAAAATTTGAATTATGTCATTAACATTTACCAGTTCTTTCCCTTGTGATACCAGAAAACAGAATAATGTTTGGATGAAAATGAACTCTTATATGTAATTTTATCTAAAAATTCTAATATAAATTAATTTCCAATCTTGCTAACAAACTTTTAAATTATTATAATTATTTTACCTCATTTACAACTTCTTTCAAAGTTATTGAATCGTTATTAAAAGATTTCAAAGCGAAATAACGGTCCGGATTTTTCCAATTCGCACGCATAACATTTCCAAATTGGCCATTTCCGATTAGTTGTAAATTGTCGAAGTCCGAATATTCATAATGGATGAAATATTCATCAGAGATTGATTTTTCTAACCAATCGACATAAATATTTGATATTTCAGGGTTATTTGACATTTCTACTATTCTTTATATAAAAATTTAATTATGACCGTTTTTATGGCTTTTAAATAAAAAAAAAAAAATATTTCGGAGTTCAATTTCGATGCAGATTAACCCACGTGAATGTAATGTATATCATATGATTGACGAAATTTCTTCCTTATATAAGTCAATTTTACATCCAAATTTGTCTTATACTGAATATATAATTGTTTGATAGACACGAGAGATAGTCATAGTTTTGTTATTATTTGTAATTTTTATAACATAATTTAATAACCTTATGACAGTACCACTTCGTTAAAAAAAAAAATAAAAAAGAATATATAATTATTTGAAATAAACCAGGAAATACTGCGGCGACGACACCTATCTAGACGATATATATTATTTGATGTAAAGCCACTTTGAGACGCACAAAGAGTCAGACATAACAATCCTAAATGTGTATGTATTCATATAGTCGTCAGTATTAATTATAATTAAATACTCTACAATATACTCAAATTTTGTCATTTTATTATAAGCCAATCGATGGCTTTTATTTTTATTAAAATGGTTGCTTTTCAATTCTTTGAAAACTTTTAAAGAGATTATTAACAAAACTTAACAGTAATGAAAAAATAATCCCAGTACTTTTCAAAATCCTCCTACAATTTATATATTTTTCAATAAAAAATTTTACGGCAATTCCCTAATGATGATGATCTCTCACCAGAGACCTGCAACGAACCGGAAACCCAGCCAGGACCCGATTCAAGAAGTGCGGGCTGGCAAATTATTTCGCGCCGGAAGTTCATTAAAATTTAGCCGCTGATTGATATTTTTATAAATTATGAGTTACTTATGAGAAACGAATTTCTTTCTAAAGATTAATCTCCAGAAAGGTAAGTTAGAATGGAATATGCTTATACAGGAGCCGTTAAATGTTGAAGCTTTTATTGCCTGAAATTCAAAACATAATGAAATATGCTAATAATTTTTGTTGTAACATTATTGCCGATCATTTTTTAATTTTGTCGCTTTAACAAATATATATTTTTATTATTATTTTTTTTTTTAATAAATGAAATAAATAATATGTCATAGCAACTTGTTCAAATGTCAAGTGATAAAAGCAGAAAAAGTGAAGTTTAGTTGTATAATTTTATATATTACTATTTTTGTATTTGTAAAATAAAATTAATATGATTGAATTATAAAAAGAATTCCGCATCACCAATTAATTATACTGTGTTGGATTAATTTTGAGCCAGGACGGAAACTGAAATTGGACACTTGTATAAGTACGACAGTTCACGTTATGAAGATACAGCGAAAAATTTGCTGAGTATAAAAATTAAATCATATATAATATCCATTGCATTAGTGTGTTATAAAATTTACTGTAAAAGTAAGAAAAGTTTTTAAGTTTTTTTTTTTTTTGATTATTATTAATCCAAAACGATTATATTCGTATTTATCTCGTCACTGTACAAGAATTTTCCATGCTTTTATTTTTATAATTATTTTTATTTTTATTTTTTTTTTGGCATTTTTCCTATATTTTAATCTCTAATTCAATAATTTACGAATTTTTATTTGTTGTGTATATAAAGTTATTCTGATAAAATATTTCTATACCTTCCCGCAAAATTTGAACTTCTACTGGACAATATTTTAGGTTCTCAATGGCGCGAGCTTTTTTTTTTAAAAAAAAATTCCATTTCCCAAAGATAATCAACATGGAAACCACAAAAAATAAATAAAAATAAAATATTTAACGAATTTTTTTTTTTTGTCTGAATAATGGATCCATTTTTTCGAGGGTTGAAGTATCATTATCAATATTTGCAAGATGATGTTTAGGTCAAATATCAACTTTAATAACGAAAAAAAATTAGCTATAAAATACATTGAATAGAACTTTTCATAAACTACCTAGTCAATAAGAAAAATGACTTTTATATGTAAAAATACATTTACTAAAATACATTTACATATTTGTTTGATATCAATTGCCGTTTACGTCGCATGTCAAATCCATGATTAGGAATTCTCCATTGACATTTATTCACATTTGCTTCAGGTTCTTCACAAATAGGATCGGAATCAATGGAAGTTTGCATATCAGATAATCTGCTTACAAATTTGACTTGGTAATCAACTTTTCCTTGCTTGCCGTCAATATTGACCAGTTTGAAACATCAGATACCATGGCTAGAGCAGGCTCTTTTGCTAATTGGTGAATCAAAATCGAAGACCAAACAACTGTGGTAACCAGTGTCTGCTCTAAAGCATGCCTCGACGTTGAGTGTCGAGCTTTGAATCGTATCGACGCTGGACGCTTTTCCTATGACTTCGACGAAAGTAGCAATAATAGCTGGCACACAGGCCAATAGCATCAGCAAATAAATAAATTTGTGGAGCATGTTTTGGAAATATTTGTATATTTGAAGGTTTTGAATGATAATTGATTAAATTGTGAAGTTTACAGAAGCAAATTGGTGTGCAATTTATATAATTATCCATATGGCTCTATTTTATTGATCAATTGAAAACCAATCAATTTAAAGTTATTAAAATCATATTTTGATGATAAAAAAATATTAAAAATATTAAAATATTAAAGTTTTTACCTATGACGAAGTATTTGATGATCGGGTAAACTGCGGACAGCGGACAATATTGCTGCGGTGGTGCTACGATGTATGGTTAAAACAGGTTAAATTCGCTACTTATAACCTTTTTTGGATCTATTCAACTTTTTCATTTCTTTCCCAAACATACAAAAAAAATACACAATTTTTTTTTTTTTTAAAATGACTTCAATATTCCATTCTGGACTTTCAAAAGATCTTGCCTTAATATTAACTGATGCTGATGACTTCAATGTCATAATTCAAGTTGGTGAAAGTCAAGACACAAAAGAATTTTATGCTCATTCAGTTATTTTGCGTGCACGCTCTCCATATTTCAAACGTGCTTTTTCGTCTAATTGGATTACAAAAAAGGATAATATGATCATATTTAATAAACCAAATATCACTCCAAATGTTTTTAACATGATCTTAGGGTAAGTTATATTCAACAAATATTTTTAAATTATTTTTTGTTATAAAATTTTTAATTTTTTTATTATTTTTTTTTTTTAGATACATTTATACGGGAGAACTTAATTTGTCAATGCAGTCGGGCGAAGATATTTTAAGACTATTAATTGCTTCAGATGAGCTACTAATGGAAGAATTATTCAAACATGTTCAAGATTACTTGTTTGAAAAACATCTATGCTGGATTCAACAGAATTTTATTTTCGTACTTCATACTGTGTTTAAACTTTCTAGCTGCAAGAACTTGCAAGAATATTGTCTTGGATCGATTTGTGCCGATCCAGAACCGTTTATCACTTCGAAAAACTTTCTATTACTAGATAAAGATATCCTTTTTGAATTGCTTAAAAGTGAGGATCTTGAGATTAAAGAAATCGTCGCTTGGGAATGTTTAATTAAATGGGGTATAGAACAGACTCCTGAACTGGAAAGCAAGAAGTGTGATGTAGCTACATGGAATCAAGAGGATTTTGAAGCGTTGAAGAAAACATTAAGTCAATTCATTCCACTTATTCGATTTATGGAAATTACTAGTGCTGATTTTTATGATAAAGTTCGACCTTATAAAGCTATCATTCCTCATCATATTTATGAAGAGATTACTGAATTTTATTATAAAAATACCTTACCAAAGTTATCAACTTTACCGCCTCGCGTGTGTAAACTAGAATCAAACATAATCGAACCAATGCTCGCAACTGTTATAGCTAATTGGATTGGTAAAAAAGATTCAACCGTTCATGCATCCAATAACCGGTATAAGTTTAATCTTATTTACCTAAAAAGTCGGGATGGTTTTGATCGTAAGGTGTTTCATAATAAGTGTTGTGGACAAGGGCCATTTGTGGCGTTGATAAAAGTTCGATCAAAAAAAATTTATGGAGGTTATAATCCAATTGGTTATGCGTCGAGAAACAATCAATGGTTATCTTCTTCTGATAGTTTTATCTTTTCTTTTGAAAATGATCATGATATACATAACATGAAACTTGGTAGGGTAATTAATATGGACATGTCGATACGAGAGAATTATAGTAGCTCCAATTTCATTAATTTTGGAAATTATTTATATACAAACGGACAAAATCTTAATTTTAGTAACTCTGGAAATTATAATAATGTATGTAATATTAGCAAAAATGTGCATGTACCTGTTGAAGAAATTGAAGTCTTTAGTGTAGTTAAAAAATAATTCTTTTGTCTGGTTCGTATATTATCTTGATTTCATATTTCCGAAGAATAGATTAGATTTTTTTTTCTTTTTTTAAAAAAATAAAAATAAAAAATAAAAAAAAAAAATAGAATGATTTATTGCTAATACGTTCGTTGATCGTAATAATCTTTATCATAGAATCATAGAATTTAATTTTGGGTATTTTTTTGTAATAAAAATTATCAGATTTTAAGCTTGATACAATATTGTTCTTTTCATTTGATGATCTACGATACGAACATTGCCTTGCCTTGTCCTCCTCAATGCTTTAGACAATAAATATAAATCATTTGTTACAATAAATGCAGTACATGAAATCTTTAATATTAGCTTTCATGTTGCCTATTACAACTTTCGCGGAAACTCATGAATTGAATTTAGACTAAAACTTGTGTAACTCCCAAAAAAAGAATTCGTGTAAATTAATTGCAGATATTGGGTTAAAACGACAAAAGTAAAAATTACTTTAAAGAAATATGTTCCATAACTTTGTGCTATTTACATTAATACATTCGATCATTAAAGTTAATTGTTAAAATAATAGGTTCAAAATAAAATATAAAATTTTTTAATACGTTAATTCGATAGATTTGATGAAATTGAAATTGATTCTATTTAAGACATTTGTTTCTAAACCAACTGGTCGAAAAGGCGCAGTTAAATTTTCAATAAAATAAAATTACCTTTGATTAAAGATGATGCTAAAAATCAAGAATTAAAATGAAATAATCGGAAACTAAGACGGCTGTTCTTATTCTTGTAAGAAAAAAAAAAAAGAAAATAGAGTCTTATGGATACGGTAGAAATTTTTTTTTTTTTAAGGTAGTTTTTAAATAAGAAATCCCGGTAGAGGTTGTCTTATTAAATTCCTAACTTATTATTTTTTTTTAAAAAAAAAGGATCAAAAAAAAAAGGAGAAAAAATAAAGAAAACCGTGTTGGAAGTTTTCTTCATAACGGTACATGTCGATACATAAATTTCTTCTGTCCTTGCTTTTGTAATGCTGTTTCATTAAATAATAGAATTACGAAATAAAATAAAATAAAAAAATATAAATTACACCAATATCGTACGTTATTTATCAATAACTAGATAATCATAATTATTAATTAGATGGAGGCCAATTTAATTGCAGCGCGGCATCAAATAACCATAGATAATATACCTCCAATTTTTTATTTTTTATAAAATGAATTCAGATATTTCCCAATAGCGTCGATCGATTATTTTCTCATAGCCAAGTCAAGTGATGTTACACGCATTACATTACAGTTTCTTAGAAAATTCCACGGTTCACAGCCTAGCCAAATATGATTTGTGAAAACCCGGTTTTATATAATCTGCACATAATTTTTGTATTTTTTTCATTTTTTTTTTCTCGCTTGAAAATTTTCTAAAAATATCGTAATTCTTTTTATAAATGACTATAATATTCCATTCCGGCCTTTCAAAGGACCTTTCATTAATATTAAATGATGCAGATGATTACAATGTCGTTATACAAGTTGGTGAAAATCAAGACACAAAGGAATTTCGTGCACATTCAGTTATTTTACGGGCACGCTCTTCATATTTCAAAAGTGCATTTTCGTCTAATTGGATTACAAAGGAGAATAATCTGGTCATGATTAATAAACCGAATATCACACCGATTGTTTTTAACATGATCTTAAAGTAGGTCATATTTCAAATATGCGACTTTTTTTAAATTAACTTTGTTCGATTATCATTCAAAAATGAATTTTTATTATTTTGAAGATATATTTATATGGGTGAACTCGATTTAACCGTACAATCAGGTGAAAATATTTTTGGATTATTGGTTGCATCAGATGAATTTCTTCTCGAAGAGTTATTCGAGCACGTTCAAGATTTCCTTCTCGAAAAACATACTAGTTGGATTCAACAAAATCTCGTTCTTGTTGTTCATACTGTGTTTAAACTTGATAGCTGCAAGAGATTGCAAAATTATTGTCTTGAAGAAATCTGTGCGGACCCACGACCATTTGTTTCATCGAAAAACTTTCCATCACTGGATAAAAACATTCTCTTTGACTTGCTTAAAAGGGAGGATTTTCAGATTGAAGAGATTGTTGCCTGGGATTATTTAATCAAATGGGGTATAGAACAGACTCCCGGTTTAGGAAGTAAGAATTGTGATAGATCAAAGTGGAGCAAGGAGAATTTCAAAACTTTGAAGGAAACGTTAAGTCCATTCATTCCCCTTATTCGGTTTGTGAATATTTCTCGTGTTGATTTTTTTGACAGAGTTCGTCCTTATAAGTCCATAATTTCTAAATATATTTATGACGAAGTTGAGGAATTTTATTACAAGGATACCCTACCAAGGACAACGGCTTTAACGCCTCGCGTTGGAAAACTAGCGTCGAACATCATCAAACCAATACTTGCAACCATTATATCCAATTGGATAGATAGAAAAGATTCAATTATCCCTTTGTTTAACAATCGGTACAAGTTTAATCTGATTTACTTAAAAAGTCGGGATGGACTTGATCGTACGGTATTTTATAATAAGTGTAATTTGCAGGGACCGTTTGTGGTATTGATCAAAGTTCATTCCAAAAAGATCTATGGAGGTTATAACCCGATTGGTTATGCATTTCGAAGAGGGCAATGGTTATCTACTTCAGAAAGTTTCATATTTGCCTTTGAAAATGATCAAGATGTGCATGCTACGAAAATTGGCAGGGTGTTCAACGTAAATCAATCTATATATGAGAATTATACGAGTTGGAATTTCTTTAATTTTGGTAATCAATTATATAATGTTGGACCAGATCTTTTCCTTTATGACTTTGATACCTATGAAAATTATTATGATATTGATACTAAAGTTGATGTTGGTTTACCTATTGAAGAAATCGAAGTCTTTAGTGTAATTAAGGAATAACATCATGTATTTATTTTTTTCAATTTCTAAGTAGGTCACGTGTATTTTTATAAATATTCGATATAATGCTGTAATTATTGTATTTATATTTATTCGAAATATATTATATTATTCATTTATTAAACAATTTATTTAAATTGATTCAAATTATGCAAAATTATTCCAAACACTTACCATTCTCACCTTTCCTTTTCCAAAAAAAAAAAAAAAAAAAAAAAACCTGTACGTTTACGATTAATAATTTTTTTTTTTATAATATTCAAAAAAAAAAAAATAAAATAAAATAAAATAAAAAAGAAAACAGCTCGTACATTTTTTATATTAAGTAATTGATGAATGTACCCACACTTTGCAAAGAAAATTTGGGAAATTACATTGGAACAAAGGGATGGAAAAGAATTTACTATATAAATTAGCTTTGTTTCGATGTATTGGACTTGTCGAAGCTTTACGACTTTTCTTAAGTAACTAGTTAACGGTTTTTATCATGTGATACAGATATTAAATTTTTTATTAATTCGTTTTTGCAATTGCTGATCTTCCAATTTCGCAACTGCTCAACTTTTTCGGCCTTACATCTGTTCCAGGTTTTTAACTGATCACATGCAAAACTCGCGTCTTGACGCGTCTTTTCTAGTATAAATACATCTCAATTCCCAAAAAAAAATTTTAAGCAAAATTTCGTGTTTAACTTCTCAACTTCATTTCAAAAGGTAATATTATTTTAGAACAAGAATAGCACAAAATCACAATGACAAGTTCGAAGGTTTATTTCCTGGACTAACTTTAACAACTTCGTTCATAATATTACAGCTGACGTTTCAAAAAAACAATAAAGAAGCAAGGTCATCACGTTCTCCTACTACAAAAACTCTCAAAAGAACTACTTCACAATCTTCTTTAGGTGGAACATCGAGTTCCAGTGCTGTTGCTCATACAGTCAGTCCCACACCTTCAGTTTTATCAAATATAAGTGCTTTGAGCGTAATAGATAGGCTAACGTTTTATATTAACTTTTCCTTTTTATGTGTATTAAATAGGCCAAATACAACTACCAACAAGCGTATTAAACTTTGTCAAAGAAAAACAACTGGATTGCTCCTTTTGGCATATACAAGGAAACTTGCCATGTATGTTCTTACATCCGAATATTGAAATATCATAGTTAGGTTCCTGTGTTAAATGTTAATGCATTGGCCATGATGCGAAAGATTGTAGAAGCAGTGTTCGTGAACCCCATTTAAGCAAGGATATGTTACACCAGAACAACTTTTAAAATCATTTGGGAGAGTCAAAAATTGATACATGTAATTTTCTTTATATAATTCACATTCCTTTCTGGTAATAAGAGTAAAATAAATACTGGAATTGCTGGGTCAGCAAAGTACTTTTTTTTTACTTTTATTATCCTCTTAAAATAATTTAATTATATAATTTCTTTTTCTTTCTCATAGCAAAAGCAAAAAAAGATTCAGGGTTGCTGGGCCAGCAAAATTTTTTTTCGCTTTTGTTATTAATTATCTTACAAAAATTCATTTGGGTTGCTGGATCAGCAGGGTGAATTCTTTTAAGATAATTTGATTTGCTTAATTAAAAAACATATTAGATAATTTGCTTGCTTATTGGTTAGAACATATGGGCGGATTTGTCTATTCAGAATTAAATAAAATTTTAAAATAAATCGCACTCAAAATAAATTGATTAGCCGGGATAAAAAATTTTATCACACAATAAAATGAAAATAAAGTGATAAATGATTTGAAAAGTTTTACTGTGTCTGTAATTGTATTTTTTCTATCAATCTCACGTTTGTAAAAACTAAGGATGTTAAAAGGCCCTTAAAAAAATTTTGAAGTTTTTAAAATTACTAATTCTAGAAGGGCTTATCAGGAGAATTTTTTTACATAAAATTTATGATATTTTTACGCAGTTTTACCACGGCGACTGTGTTATATTTGATAATTTTAGTTTCGCGTAAAACCCATTTCTTACATTTCATCTTGTCAGTCTGATAAGTAGGTTTTTATTTAAATATATATATCAATAAAAAAAAAAAATTACAGCTGTTTTCAAAATATACGGGACACTCGGCAAATTGAAAAACAATAATAAACACGTGACATCTGATTCTCGCATTATTTATTTTGCGACGTTTATTTTTCTTATTGAGTTGATATGCTTTATATGCTTTATATGTGTTATAGTATATAATGTTGAGTGTTATTTTTACAATTTGCCGACCACCCGACCACCCGACCACCAAAACACTCGGCATCAAAATTTGCCGAGTGTCCCGTATATTTTGAAACAGCCGTAAAATTTTTCATATAAATACTTAAATTTTAACTACGTAATTATCCTTGGAAGCAATGATGTAATAAACAGTCACAAAAAATAAGTTAATAAATTATAATATATTTTAATATTACACTAAGTTTTGTTTAGTGAACCGTAAGGGTCGAGTAGGGTTTAAAGCATATTCGAACTCGAACCCGTTATTAATTACAGAACCAAATTCGACTCGGCCCGATCATTGTTCGACTCAGACCTGATTATTGTTTAACCCGGATTCGACTCGAATTTTCAAGTATAATATTACAGCAAATTTCATAAGTTACGGGACACCTGGTAAAATTTTTGCCGGGTTCTCGGGTTCACGGGTTGTCGGCAAATTAAAAAAAAAATAAACACGTGATATTAGCCAATCAATTTTTGTATTTTTTTTATTGTATCATAAAATCGAAAAATGATTGGCTAATATCACGTGTTTATTATTTTTTTCAATTTGCCGACAACCCGAGAACCCGAGAACCCGGCAAAAATTTTACCAGTTGTCCCGTAACTTATGAAATTTGCTGTAATGCCAAAAATAAAAAAAGTATAATTTATTTTTAAAATTTATTTTTTTTTTTTTTTACAACTTTTTCCACCAGGATTTTAAGCACATATAGGCGCAAATTGTTATCAGATCGATTCGCCAGAAAAAACTCGTTCTAGTTGCTTTATAAAAAATGTATTAGTTAGTGTTTAATAATCGAGATATTTTTTTTACCTGTAATTGTCACTCCGCAATGCTTTTCGTTTTCTAGAAGAAGTTGTACTATCGGTAACGTCGATATGTTCACTCATTTAATTATTTGTTACAAAATTAAAGTCACGTAATGCAAAACAAAAAAAAATTCTACCTTCCAGGTAACCCGGGTCGACAAATACAAAATCAAATCCGATTCAAGAACGAAACCCGACTGGTTGAATTTAATTTGGGTCTCTTTAAGAATCCGACCCGAACTAAAACTTGATTCGTATAATAACCGGGTTGATTCGAGCACTAGAAGTGATTAACCTATAAGGCAAATATATATATTTTTTTTTAAAAATAAAAATCCTGAAAATTTAGTAGAAAAACAAATCATTCGATAGTAACAACACGAAGCTATCGAAACTAAAATTAAAATATTCAAAAAAAAAAAGATCTAAGAAATGATTTTTTTTTGTTTGGTAAATAATTAAATTTTTTTAATATGAAGATCAAAATCCGAAAATCGGATCTTAAAATTGAATATACAGTCAGTAAAACACACAACTTTTGGAAGCGAATCAACTCGAAAAAAGAACTTAAAATAGTGCAAAATATGAAAAATAAAAATAAATCATCAGTTATTGTGCCCCGAAGCATTCCATTTATAATAGTAATAATAATAATTTAATAAAAAAAAAACTTTACCATTGCGATCCAACTCGAAAGAAATAAAAAAATTACTGATAAGATAAAATTAAAATAAAACTAAGTGATAAACTCAACCATCGAAATCCGTCAATCATCTTGAAACGTTTTTTTGAAAAATAATGAATTATTTTTTTTTTTTTTATAAACAAAAGAACTAAAAAGAAAAAAAAAATAATAATAAAATAAATAAATTTAAAAAGTAATCAAATAAATGTAATGATTTGTACGCGGGATTTTTCGGTATTGCGCGCGATTGGGTAGTATTTTAAAAAATAAACCTTAATTATTATTTGATTTTTTTAGGCGGTGTCGGGCGCAGCGTCGAATCGTTGCATTTTTTTTCTATATTAAGCTGCTAAAAACGTCTAACTATATTTGGTAATAAGTCAAATCATTTGAAATTTTTGGAAAAGAAGATTTTCAGCATTTTCCTTTTATTAACACGATATTATCATAACGAAAGCTTTTTTTTTTTTAAAAAAAAAAAAAGTAAACGGCTTTACAGCGGTCAAATGCCGAAGTGATCTTTTAGGATTTATATCTCAAATGGTATATCTTACGTAAATGATCATTGGCACATTTATCAGCTCCAACTGCTCTGAAAGCTGATCATAAGAATTATGGATCTGTAAATACAGCGATTTATTGAAAAAGTTTGTCGATAATTTTTATGTAAATTTCTATCTTAATAACATTTACTATCTTTTTTTACGTATTAAGAGTCCACCAACTTATGTGTTAGTTATCATATTATGAGTTACCTAAACTTTCTCATCTGGTATGGAAATGATGGGAATGATCTTCTCTCTCCGACAATGAACCTCACATTTTCAACATGAAAAGGAGTGTTTTTAAACATGTTTGAAATGAGATTGGAAGCGATACTGAAGCTCGAGCTTTATCCTAACTGACAAAAAATTCAGTCAATATAGCTACCTATGGGGAGAGAGTGCAGAGTTGGTTTCTTGGATGGCAATACGTGGTCAAAAAACCCAAATCTGTGTCGTTTATCACATGCACACCCTTTTCTTAAATCTTTATAATCAAGCCAAATTGAATCTCTTTGTGATATAACAAGAACAATAGTGAATTTTTTTATTTTTGTAATTGTGAGGGTGATATTAGAGGTTGGAACTGGTTAAAACGGTTAATATGTTAACCGGTTAAAGATTTTTTTTAACCGGCTAAAATAGATGAATTTAAATCCGGCCGAAATTCAATTTCCGGCCAGAATTAGGATTTGTATGATTGTAAAATATTCTAACTCTGGCCAAATTTATAGTACTGGCCAAAGTTAATTTTAACCGGTTAATTAACCGGTTAACTAATATTTTAACCGGTTATTAACCGGTTAAAGAATTTTCGGCCGGTTCTAACCTCTAGGTGATATACTTTTATTTTATCTATAAAAATATTATATAATATTTTTTTTTTATTTACTTAACTTGTTTCGGTTTAAACTGATTCTTTGCTAATCTGGGTCATAATTTCAATAAATTTGCAAACCGGTTTGCTGCATCCGATTTGTATAACCAGTACATATTATGAATTTGGAAATTTTAGTTTTATATTGATACACTGAACCTGTTCGTATTCTTACAATAGTATTTATTTACTTGGAAAATGGAATGTTGCGTTATATGCTACTTTTTCTGCTTGCATTAAAAAAAAATTTTGGTAATTTTGCTTCTTTGAAACAAATTTATTTAATAATTTAACTATTGTAATAAAATAAATGACTTAATTCATAAATAAAATTTAAGAGTTTATATTTTGTATTGGAAAACATTGTGATGTCACGGGGTGTTTATGTTCAGGACTATAAATATTACGAATAAATATTTTTTTTATTGATCTTCTGTATCACAAAAATTTAACCATAAATATATTATAAATTATGTTTATTAATCACTTTAAAGCGTACAATTAATTTTCCTATTGTGTAAATTTTGGTTTATAATTAATTTTTTTAAAAAAATCTCAATTAGCTAATATAATAATATATATAAGCAAGTCGACCGTTGATAAAACTTAATCAATAGCATCTTCAAAAATATTATCTCCAAATTCATTAATATCAATGAGGATTCTATAAGTTCTGTAAATATTATTTGTTAATCTAAGTGATTTTATATCGAAATGTCCTGACTTAAATAATCTTAAGCCAATTCTTAAAAATCATTTTTCTGAGCTTAGTGAGGTTAGGATACAAAAAATCGAATATTTTGCTGATAAGGAATGAACTCTACCTCTTATGTTAATGTTGCACTTGCAACTTTAAATACAACAGCTTCATCACCGCTTATCATTCGAAATTAATTTTTCACATCAAGCAGTAAGTATAAAACTTTTTTTCATACATTTATTTCTCCTATAATGTCTAGTATTCATTTTATTTTCTGCAATAATAGTGACTTGTAAATCTGGA